CGGGCGCCCCTGATCGAAAGCACACAGGGGCGGCGAGGGGGTGATTCCGAAGCCAGCCCGTGTGAAATGTCTCCTTTCTCAGACCAAAGCGGTATCGCAAGGCACGGTGGCGCAAAGCTAAAAGCCAATTATCGTCATCTTAAATCGCCGCCGCGTTGTTTTGCTCTGACGGCCAGCGTCGCCGTCGATTGTGTCCTCATAAGCCGAATGGCTCTATTAAAAAATGAAATGAAAAATGCGGCGGGCAGTTTGATTTCCCCGCGGGCTCCTTGGCGTCCCCGTGCAGGCGCTGGCACAATTAAATAAAGAAGCGTAATGAAGTAAATCTCATTTGGCCACAAGCGCGGGCCCGGCCCATCAGCGCTTGTCGCAGCTCGGCGCTACAAATATTGATTGTGTGTCCTGGACTGTCGCAATAACCGATGGCGGCTGGCTTTAAGAGCAGCCTTTCCTTAAACCACTTCTCTCGCGCTGTGCGTGTGTGTGTGTGTATATCAGATTTATATGTCCATCATAAAGTGGATTTACATCTGGCGGCGAGTCAGCGCTTCTCGGCTGTCAGTTTGGCGCGATGCGCCACTCGGGATGACGCAGTGCCGCCACATAAAAGTAATGAAAACGTCCTGTTAGACGCTAACCAGGAGGCCCGGTGATGCCGGGTCGCTACGATAAGTGTTCACCTAAGTGTGGTTGGCTATTGTCACTTACGCTACATAATTAGCATGAGGGCTAATATTCCGAATCAAACACTTGGCGGACTTCTTTGTTTATCTGTGTGATGTTTTAGAGTGCTGGTAAATTTGACAATTTGAACAGATGTTCATCGATGATTAAGTTTGTAATTTCCGATTTTCTAATTTCCTGCTTCACTGCACTTTCCCGTAACCGCAATCTGATTATTATTGTATTTGCGGAATATAAATTAAGCCATAAAATCCACCCGTTTTTGTCTATCTCGGGCGGCAGCTATTTGCCACGGCTCACCTGTTGTCTGAAGCTGAGCCACGATTGGCTGTTTTCGTGCAACTGTGATGTCATTTTCACTTGACTGAAAGTGGCAAAATGGCCGCGCCCTGAGAGTGCGACAAACGGGGGAATTTTGCTGCTTAACTCATATTCCACAAACACAATATTAATCTGATTTTTGGACAAGTGGAGGCGCATTGAACCGATTGTAATTGGGGGTGGATTTCCCCTTTAAGTATATCAGAAACAGAAAAAAGCATGCTTGTTAGCTATGGGGGACTCTGCCCACCTTCATCTTTTTTAACTAACTTTGCGACCCATGTTAAATGTCATTTTTAATTTTTTTATTTATTTTTATTTTTTGTCATCTCGCTGAAAAATGGAGGGCGGGCCGCAAATGGCCCCGGGACCTATTTTGGCCACCTCTGATTTAATGAGTACTTGGTCGGCCTTCAGTGAATTGAGTGACATGTCACTTTGTGGCCTGTTTCCATGACAAAAGTTGTTTTCTGAAACGTCGCAGTTGATTGTGCTGCCTTCCCAAAAGTAACTCCAATTGAGGATGACATTCTTTTGCCATTTTCTCAGAGAAAAAAAAAAAAAAAATTTAATTTCCGGTTATCCTGTATAGTCGTTGAGCTGTCAAAAAGCATGGGAGCAAATTTCCTGACGGTAATAAAAAGATGAATGGCGGTGGAACTGAGGCTGGCATTCCCGCTGGACCGCCCCAGCTACTCAATGTGTATGGATTTAAAAAAAAAAAAAATTTTTATGCTGCCACTTGTGGAGTCTATGAATGGACTAATGTGTCAACAGCAGCGGATGATGGCCTGGGCATGTATCGGTGCAAATTGGCATCCGTTCACCCATCAGCCAATCTCACTGGGAAACAGTGCGAAATGTTGCCGTGGCTTTTTTTTTTTTTACCTTGTCGGACAAGATTTTGATGGATTTGAGGCACTGCTAGGAGAGTCCACGGAAGACAACATCCTCCTGCGTGGCCGGTTGCCACAGAGACCAGGTTGGTGGCAACAAAATGTTGCACTTGCGTCGTTTTTGTTTCGTCAAAGATTTCATGGTTGTGCTTCTCTTTGTAATGCGTGCCTGTTTGCCCAAGTTTTTTGGTTCTTTTTTTTTTCCCCCCAAATCGATACTGCGCACCCCTTACAGGAGCATAGTCTGGGGTTGTTTTTTTTCTCCTCTCCCTATGTTTTTTTTTTTTTTTTTTCCAGGAAGCTGTAAAAGGCGACCCGGCGGACTTGCGCTCATTCTTTGTCTTTTTCTCTTGGACAGGTTATGTCTGTTCTATTTTGTTGCACCTTTTATTGCACCAAGACAATAAAGCTACTTTGCTACTCTGATTCTTCAACCAACAATAATTGGTTACTAAACAGTAATGTAAAAAAAAAAAAAAAAAACGACCGTTTTGCAAATACATTTTTATCCTATTATTCAATTAATCGATGGAATAATCATTAGACTCATCAATTTTTCAAAAAATATTTGCTAGTGACAGTCCTGTTTTGAACATAGCAGCATGCCCATTTCTAAGAGGGTGGCCGCGTTTGAGCAACCATATTTTCTCTGTCGCTTACTTTTATGAGGGGGTTTTAACGGTGATTATCAATGCGTAATTGAGTATTTTCCACAGCGTTGATTGCGTGTGAAGGTGCCGCCCGATAGAGCGAGGGAGAGTGTCTTAATGAAATTCATGAAAAATCATATTATCCACATTCCCGGGTGGCTGCCAGTGCCAAGACGAAACCTCTGGCAGGGCTTCAAGACACACTTTATCTCGCAACAGCCAGCTGTCGCGCGCACACGCCGCCAGGCTGGAAAGTTGAGCAGTATTTGTGATTATTTAGCACGGGGAAAATTGTTTGGAAAAATTCACCAGTGAGGCTTTAATCCGGTTAAGTTCCCTTTGTTGACTTTTAATCTTTGCACTTCGCGTGTGTGTGTGTGTGTGTGTGTGTGTGTGTGTGTGTGTGTGTGTGTGTGTGTGTGTGTGTGTGTGTGTGTGTGTGTGTGTTTATGTATGAGCAGTATTTGTGATTATTTAGCACGGGGAAAATTGTTTGGAAAAATTCACCAGTGAGGCTTTAATCCGGTTAAGTTCCCTTTGTTGACTTTTAATCTTTGCACTTCGCGTGTGTGTGTGTGTGTGTGTGTGTGTGTGTGTGTGTGTGTGTGTGTGTGTGTGTGTGTGTGTGTTTATGTAAACGTGCGCGTCTTTTGTGCGTTAAGCCTATCAGGGCCGACCACGGCGGGATTTGGGCTCCGAAATCCATCTTTACACGTAGCCAGCGTTCCGTGTTTTCCCATCGACGTGCGTTCCGAGCAGCCCTCTGTGGTCAAAGTCCGTATCGGTGTGCTTTCAAACGCGGTGAGGTGACCCTCGCTCTGTTTGCTCGCCGCCCGTTTTGTTGTGCCAGCTTGCCACCAAAGCGCCGTAATTGACACAATAGCCGCTAGTTGATCCGAGTGGTCCACGTGAAATCCCGAGGATGACTTCAAAGGCGACATGATGACCATTTTTGGGCACAATTTGAAAAGAGTGGATCTTCACCCAGCCTAGCCTCAAAGTCATGGGCGGAGAAACTCTATGAAAGGGGCGGGATTATGTGAAGTATATTTCCATATTTTGGAAAGTTAAAAAAAGCTGCAATTAAGTGAGTCGAGAACCTTTGCGTCCTGCTTTGCTGCTGTCTGCTATCAGCTTGTTGCCAAGGAACTTAGTTGAAGTGAGATGAGGAGCTTGGCGTAGTGCTTTTCTGCCACCTAGTGTCGTCTTGCTGCCAAGGAACTAGGTTGAAGTGAGTTGGGCAGCTTCATTTCGTGCTTCATCGCCATGTATGTGCAATCTTAAACCTGTTCAGGGGGAGCGTTAATTACTCGCCAATTGTCACTCGGCCCCTACATCCCCCAATTAGTGCTTTCCTATTTAGCTAGAGCTTTGTTGTTATGTTTCGCAACTTTTCCGACCCCTCGAGCAGCCTCCACCCCAAAAAAATGGACAGGCAACAAATGTGGCCACTTGAGGCGACGGTGAAAAAGTGCCTGTTAACCTCCCCGCTGTGGTTGAGCTTATCGTGCTGCAGTGGTGGAAGATGCGTCAAGATCTCCTTTGAAAGGTTGGTAAGGAATCCCCGTCGATAATTCGCCGTACGTCCGAGTGTGGCCCTTTGCTTGTTTTTCTGCCGACGCGAGCGGTCAGAGCCAAAACTGCCAGCGACATCTCCTTTGTTCCGCTCCACTTTCTTCCTGCACTCGCATGTGGAGCAGCGGTGTGTTAAATCCGACGGCGTGGCTGTTTTTCCACGCCGGCGTAGATAATGAGTGAGCATCTGCAGCCAGCAGGTTCGCAGGAAAGGAGGGCGGAGTGGCACGCACGCACGCACGCACGAGCTTTCCAAGAACGGATGCATCATGGGAAATGTTGGACCGTCATTGCCCATCTTCTTTTAATTGCTTTTACCGTTGCTGTTGATTTTGTAGATGTAGTCGACCACCCTCTTTTTTTTTTTTGAAGGTTTGGTCAGGGTCTGTTGAAAAATTTGGTCTCTAAATTCATGGTAGCACCTCTTGACTTGTTGACTTGAAACCCATGCAAGTGGAAGCATCCATGAAGAATGGGAAAGACAATATATCTGTTTTTAAAATTAGATGCGTGAACGCGAGCTGTGGCTGCAATTAAGCATAAATCGGGTGCGGTGCGATTGCGAGCAGGCGCCGCGCTCTCGAGCAGAACAAAGCTGACGGCGCTGACGCCTTGTTTTTGATTGGAGGATTAAATGGATTTACTTTCATCACTTTGAAGCGCTTGTTTAATTAGCACATCACACGGCGCGTCAACTCCGCTGACATGCGACTGCTAAACCGTGAAAATCTTGTTGAAATAAAGGCGACGGCACCCGCAGGTGGAGCACATGCAGTACGCCCGCAAAGTTTTCACAGTGCTTCGCTTTTTTTTTTTGGTGTTGTGTCAACCTGTGAGTGTTTTCGCTGACGTCCGCCTCGCATCTTTTCCTTAGTGAGCTTCCGGGACTGCGACGACGGCAGCGGCGGAGGGAAGGTGCGTCTCCAAGCTGACGACGCGTCCGATTTCCACGTAAGCCAGGATGGTGTGGTCTACACGCTGAATCACACCGGACCAGGGGAGAAAACGGCGCTGATCTACGCTCGAGACCCTCACACCAGACAGATCTGGAAAACCAGAGTGCACCTTCTAGTCCAGCCCTACTCGGAGAGAAATGGACGGGTGAGAGCAACGATATCAAGTGGCACAGATTTTTCTATCTCCACTCAACTAGAGAGCACTTTGAAAACAACCACAGCTGCATATCAAGTGCTATACATCAAGTAACAATCAAACAAACGGAGGGATAACGACATACTGTACCTACAGGAAGCAAATACAATGAAAGCAGTAGGATTCCCAATATTGATCCCTGTGGAACACCACACAGCATTGGGGCAAAATGGGACCGAGAAACCATGAGTAACACAAAAAATTCTGTCTGCCAAATAGGATCCAAACCCCTCGAGAGCACGGCCACTAATGCCCACCTGGTCGGGGAGGATTGGAAGATGAGTTTTGGGATCATAGCTTAAAGTATATCTTTGCTTGAAACGATTAATATAGAAAATTCTAAACATTTTTAGGGTTTTGTTTTGGGGGGTTTTTTTGTGGGGGGGTATGCGGTACACTGTAAAATCACAGCAATCAGGCATTTCTTTGGCAGAATGTTGATTGCCGCAGACACAATGCGAGTCAAAGGGCCGTCTGTTATTTTGTTTTGCGCATAATGGTGTTAATAAGCGCACATTTAGCCCGCCTCTGAGTGTCTCCTCTCGCCTAAGCACGCCTTGGAAGCCATCCAAGCAAACGAAGAGTGTCAACGCTCGCCGCTACGACCGGCGCTTGACTACACAGTACAGTGAAATCGCGCTCTTAGCGGGGGGTTGAGAGGCCAAGACGTATCACGATGAGCAAAAACGTGGCCCTCGTGAAAACGTTTACAACTGCCCGTGTTCATAGGATGACCCTGACCCGTTTCTATTCGCCATTTGATTACGTTTTCGAGTGACACATAAAAGGACGGGGCTTCTTTTTGTTAGCTGCGCACTTGCTGTGCTGTTTGCAACGGATCCGCTGTTAACGCAAACCACTGCAGATAGACATGCGGACCTTTCGGAGCTTTTCGTGGAATCAACTGGAGCCACGCGACTGTTCGCCATCTAGTCGGCCGACTAGCGGCCTGCGGTCAATGCGAGCTACACCTCCGCTAACATGGCACCATAGCATTCTTTTATTTCTATCCAGTATATGGGTGTGTAATGCAAAAAGCCATGACAAAAGTCAGTCAGAAAATGATCCACGTGGATAACGTTTTGGGATTTTTTATTTTATTTTATTTATTTATTGATTCTTTTAACTATAATTATCTCAAATTCATCGTCGCACTTTTCCACAAACGATTTTGCTTCTTGTGTCCTTTTTATGAGACTTTTATGACGGTTTATTCCCCGGGCAACGTTTAAGCCGGCAAACGGCGCCTGAGAATGTCTGAGGTCAGGCACTTTTTTTTCTTTTATTACAAGCCAGGGAGAAGCATCCGCTGCCGTTTCTCGGTGGTGACCCACCACCATGATGGAGCTGTGCACTCACGCACACACATGCACACAAAGTGGCAGGTGGCGGCCATTTATCAAAGGGACAGTAATGAGGTCATTAATCCAAGACCGTGCAATGAGAGCAGATATACGTACAGTACATGCAGTCGCAGAGCGGGTCTCTGTGTGTGTGTGTGTGTGTGTGTGTGTGTGTGTGTGTGTGCACGTATGTGTGTGTGTGTGTGCGTGCTTGCTTGCGATTGTGTATGTAGAGGACAGTGAAAGTGTGTGTGAGGGACAGATTGCATGTGTTCCAGTTGGCGTGTGTTCACGGTCCCGTTTGACGCTGTGCGTGCATGCGCAGCACATGACGCTTGTTTACCTCGTCTCGCAGGTGAAGCCCGGTGATGCAACACTGACTCAGCGTGCAGCCGAGATGAAGACGTTGTTTCCGTGGCGCAGCGGCGGCGGCGGCAGCCGCGCGGTCGTCAGGGGCGACGGTGCTCTGCGGCGAGTCAAGAGGGACTGGGTCATTCCGCCCATCAACGTACCCGAGAACTCGCGAGGACAGTTCCCCGAGGACCTTGTCAGAGTAAGACACACGCAACGCAACAGCTGCAAGCACACTGGAGACAACACATTTGCGATACAGGCGGCAACTTTTTGTTTGCAAGCTAATATAATGTTGTCATGGCGCAATATTTGATCACGGGAATCTCGTCCAACACCACCTGATTGATTCATTAAGCGTGTTCCGATCGTTCATGCACATATTAAAAAAAATAATAATAAATGACATATCAGCAAGAGGAAAGCCGCTTTTTTTTTTCCCATATTAACAATTTAATGCAGTCTGACAGTTGCAGCGATCCGAAACGAAAAGCGCACCCCGAGGCGTGGCGGTTAACCCTCGCTCCGAGCGTACTCGCCGCCGGGCCCAGTAGGCCAGATGTACATTTTCATTATTCATCCCAAAGTGATTGGAGAGCCTGCGAGGGGAAAACATCTCCATCCTGTTTCCGGAGCGAACGCAACAAGAAATCTGATCCGTGAAGGCGATCCACTGTTGCCGTGGTGACCGACAAGAATCCTAAAACCTTGGACGGCACCTTTAAGAGCAAAGGGATTCTTTTGAACTTTATATTCTGATTCCCTCACGCCGGAAATATCCACCTGTCCGCGATTATTTGAAATCTTGATTAGCAGGACCCCCGACCTATTGTCGCTCTCTGCTCACCATGCGTCCCACCGCACACACGCAGTCAAAATGAGCGTCACTGGAAGAAATGGTCACGTGATACGCAGCTTCGTGTCTTGGAGCATTCCCGTTGAAGCTTTCGATTCTCGGCTTACCTTACAAGTGGTCTTTGAGCTTGCAAAATTTGAGAACCCCCCCCCCCCTCGTTTTCGAGTCAGTCCTTGCCTATTCTTTCCGAGTACTTCATCCGTCCTCTCTCTGTGCTGCAGATCCGATCAGACCGGGACAAGAGCTGGATGCTTCGCTACAGCGTAACGGGTCCCGGGGCCGACCAGCCGCCGACGGGCATCTTCATCATCAATCCCATCTCGGGTCAGCTGTCCGTCACCAAGCCTCTTGACCGGGAGCACATTCCCAACTTTCATGTAAGTTCTGGATGGGGAGGGCGACAGCTTTGCGTTTTTGTTTTTTTTTTAATTCAGGGCCCAGGATGCGCTGCCAAGGCCCTTTTCACATATCTCGCTGATGATTAATTCACAAATAGACTGGTTCATGTTTATCTCGAAAACACTCATTGGCTCGAGTCCAGCCTCTCATCGCTTTGTGCTCGCCATGCTCACCACCTGCACTGTGCGCTCCAGCAGGTTTAGGAAGCTCTTCGTTACCGCAGCCAAATCGGGGCTCCCGGGTTTATTTTCAACGTTGCTCCCAAGCTGAGCAGAATATAATTCTCTCTCATGCTTGGAAGATGAAAAAGTTGAAGGCGTCCACCGAAGTCACCCGCCTCTCCGGGAGACGAGCGTATAACCTTTTTGATCGGAAGCCTCGCGACGGAGCACCGGGGAGCGCAAATCTGGAGTCGCAGCAGGCCCATTTGCATTTAAGCCGCACGATGAATATTCATGGCGCTGGATGTAGTTGTCACAAGTGTGAGCCGAGATGGGCCGCCATGTTTATTCATGAGGGAGACGACGCCCTAAACGAATGATTGGCCGAAGGTCGCAGGCCAGCCAATGGCTGTATTCGTCATATTTGGCCTTTTTTTTTTTTTTTTTTTTTTTTGTGAAACGCCCGACGCATTCATCAAGCTCCTGCGCCGCGCTGACAAGAACAAGGCAAGGCGAAGGCTGGCCAGCCAGGCGTCTAATTGGCCCGATGCTGAGAGTCAAGCATTGGCGCCGGTCCTTTTGTTCCTCTTTGATGCCAATGCTGAGAGACAAGCGTGCAAGGTTAAAAAAAAAATCAAATAAAACAGTGACAAATTTACATGAAGAGTATTGGTAAACATAAATAGAACTGCATACCATAAACGGGAGATGATTACACGAGCTCGGGGTGTCCAATATACATTCCGTGACTGTTCTCGCAACCCCACGGGGCACATTTGCACGCTCGCAGAGGATTGCTGTGCGATTGGAAAAACATGTGCGTCTTTCCTCATTGAAATGAATGGAAACAACATTCATCTGTTCCAGCCGTGAAGCGTCCCAAAAAAAAAAAAAAAAACATTATGGCAAGGCAGCCTAATTGAACTCAGCCATGTTGTTGTGCTTATGTGCTCAAAGTGTAATTGTCATCGCTTTATGTTTTGTTTGACGTGAATTTAAATACAACTAAAACGGTATTTGGGCATGACCCATACTGCACTTTGAGAATGTGTGGAGTGAAAACGGACGGATGGACCCTAAAATGTCCGCTTCATGCCAAAATGGCAGACTTCCTGTCACTTGAGACCTGTTTTTTTTTCAAATGTTATGTTGCCAAGTGAAATTGGCTGCAGGGGCTGAATTTTCTACAGCTAAAAATCAAGGAGTGTGACCAAGACATTTGAATTTATGAGTTTGCAAATTTTGTCCACGAATAAAAACGACAGAGAGTTTTGGGAGAGGGTTTTCGCATCGCGTATTTGCCCACATGAATCTCAAACAAATCTACAAACCAAAAACTGCTGCTGTTCTCTATGAGAATGGGACCACCCAGAGGCGCTAACGCTAATGTAGCCTCATGCTGGACTGTGTGTGTGTGTGTGTGTGTGTGTGTGTGTGTGTGTGTGTGTGTGTGTGTGTGTTGCCCACAGTTGCGCGCCCACGCTGTGGACCTGAACGGCAACCAGGTGGAGACACCCGTGGAGATCCACATCAACGTCATCGACCAGAACGACAACCGGCCTGAGTTCATGCACAACATCTTCAATGGCAGCGTGCCGGAGGGCTCCAAGCCGGGTACACACACACACACACACACACACACACACACACACACACACACACACACACACACAGACAGACCTACTCACTTGCACAGTTCATCAAAGTGAAATGTCACTTTAGACAAAAGATTATTTGCTAGCTTGATGCTAACTTAAAATGGGAAATTCCATAGACGAGCTAATGAAAAACGTCCCATAGATCTTCTAGCAATTGTATACCTTTAAACTACTACGTTAACCAAACAACGTTTTCAATGCAGAGTTTCTGCCAGCGGTTTAAGAAAACTATAAAATGACTACTCGGAAAGTGCTTCTGGTGGAAAATATATTCGTGAAGAAATGTCTGCTTGACAAATATCGATGGGGTTGTTGCTAGCGATGTGTACGTGTTTTACGAAAGTCAGCTTTTCCTGTTTTATTGGCAGATAATGGTCATTTCATTTCATCACGTTACTTTTTATTTTATTTTTTTAACGTGCTCTCTTCTTTCCCGCAGGGACCTTTGTGATGACTGTGATGGCGGTGGACAAGGATGATCCCAAGACGGCCAATGGGATGCTGCGATACAAGATCCTGACTCAGAGTCCCCAAAGCCCGTCCTCCAACATGTTCACCATTAACAACAAGACTGGTGACATCATCTCCGTGGCAGCAGGCCTGGACCGCGAGGTGTGTGCGTGTGCGTGTGTGTCTGTGTGTGTGTGTGTGTGTTGGGGAGACGGGTAGGTGGGGGTGTGCGTTGGCCATATGGAAGCTCCGCCTGTCAACGTCTGTCTGGCCCGCAGCGCTTCCCCGCAGCGCGAAGACAGATTGTGTCTTTTTTTTTTTTTTTTTAGTCATAATCCAACACTAGTAGAGCCGGCAAAATGTTCTCGCCATTCCGCCGGGCACGCCATTTGTCATTTGCATGCCAGCATGGGGCCGTCAAAAAGATGGAGACTGCCGACGCCCGTCGATAATTCACTCGATGACAGGCTCAGATGGCGCACCTGAGGAGTACAACTCCAAATTCGGACTGAACCGCGTCCTGTCACGCCGTCGTGGATGTCGATTGTATCGCCTTGTCGTTGGCCTGAACGGTATCTGCTCACGCAGCAATGAAAGTCAGTCAACAATTTTCACGTGGTCAACCGAATCGGGTTGATCGCACGTTCATGAGCGCGAATGTTGCGGCTGTCGACGTGCTAATTGCAGTCAATCTTGTCACGCGCTAATTGGAGGAAAATCGTCACTTGTCACATTTTGAAGTGCATTGTGTCGCTTCGCTAATTGGAGCAAATCGCCTCGCCGCGCGTGTGATTTGATGACCGTAAATCATAACGTACCGGAAATTGTATCGTAACCTGTCGCGTTGGAATCAGAGGAAATTGTATCGTATCTCGTCTCACGCTAATTGGAGCGAACCCGTATGGTATCGTATTCAAATTGGACGCCATCCGATCGCATCGTAATCGGAGTGAATCATACCTTATCACGCGCTACCTAATTTCGCACGCTGTGTTTTGTTTTCCAGAAAGTGTCTCAGTACACGTTGATCATCCAAGCCACCGACATGGAAGGCAACCCCACTTACGGCCTTTCCAACACCGCCACCACCGTCGTCAGGATCACCGACGTCAACGACAACCCGCCTGAATTCACCACCGATACGGTACGTCTCACGTCGAAGCGCCAAATTGCGCAACGTTTTCCTCCGCTAATCTCGCCCCGGGCGGCGTCTCGCGCAGTTCTTCGGCGAGGTCCACGAGAACCTGGTGAACGTGATCGTGACCAACCTGACGGTGACGGACAAGGACCAGCCGCACTCGACGGCCTGGAACGCCGTTTACCGCATCGTCGGCGGAGACCCCGACGGGCGCTTCTCCATCCCCACCGACCCCTCCACCAACGAGGGGCTCCTCACCGTGGTCAAGGTGAGAGAGCCCCCGACCGGACCGCTGCGTGTCACGCGGCGCTGATTCCCGCCGTCCGTTCCTCCTCAGCCCATCGACTTTGAGCTGACTCGCTCGTTCGTGCTGAACGTGGAGGCGGAAAACGAGGCCCCGCTGGCCCGCGGCATCCATCCGCCGCGCCAGTCCACCGCCACCGTCTCCATCCGCATCCTGGATCTCAACGAGAGTCCCGAGTTCAGCCCCAATCCCAAACCCATCAAGTTGGACGAGGGCATGCCCGCCGGCTCGATGCTCACCACTTTCACGGCGCAGGACCCCGACCGCTTCATGAGGCAGACCATTCGGTGAGAATCTCCGGGCGGGTTGCGGCTATGTACGGTCAACTTGCGGTTTTTGTTGTTGTTTGTTTTGTTTTTCATTTTGTGCTCGGCTGTCTCGCCGTCTCGACTCGAATATTTTACTGTAAGCTTTGGCGTCTTATAGTTGTGCTTTTGGGTTGTAGCTTGTTGCCTTCAAGTTGAAGGTTTTCGCCGTTGTGCTTTCACACTGCCATTTTGTTTTCAGCTTGTAGCATTTGACAGCTAGGTTGTGGCTACTTTTTGTCAGGTTTTGGTGTTTTGCAGTCAGGTTGTGGCATTTTTCTGTTTTTTTTTTTTTTTTTTTTTTTTTTTTTAACGGTGGGGTTAACAAACTGCAGCGGTATAGCGCCACCCGCTGCCGTGGAGGACTTGTTCTTCAGATTTTATTTATTTATCTTGCCTGAAGTATCGGCGGCTGGTATCGATACCTTGAATTAAGTCTTTTGCAGTCTGGTTGTAACTTCAGTCAGTTTGATTGCGGCTCTTCGCAGCCGTTCTTTCGCAGTGGCCTTGTGACTTTTTTTGCACTTGTTTTTTTTTTTTTTTCAGTTGGGTTGTCGCTTTTAGCAACTGGGTTTTTGGAATTTTGCAGTCATGTTGCAGGATTTGCAAGCCAAGATTTTTTCGCAGTCTCCTTGCAGCTTTTTACAGTCATGTTACAGCGTTTAGCAGTCAAGTGAATTTATGCAGCAGTGGTATTTTTGGAAGTCAAGTTGGAGATTTTTTTCGCAGTCTCCTTGCAGCTTTTTGCAGTCACATTACAAATTTTTACAGTCATGTTTCAGCGTTTGGCAGTCAAGTGAATTTATGCAGCAGTGGTATTTTTGTTGCGTCGTGGTGTTTTGAAGTCGTGGGTTTTTTTCAACGGGTTTGCGGCTTTTACCCGTGGCGCTTTTGAAGTTGGTTTGTGGTGTTTTGCAATCGGGCTGCAGCCTTTTGTCGTCGGGTTGGCTTGTAAACTTTGCAGTGGTGCCTTTGCGGTCGGGTTGTGGTTCGAGAGTGCGTTTTTTGCATTCCCACTTCATGAGTGAATAAATCTTGTCCCGTCGTGGAGCTTTTCACGCTCTCATTGCTCAGCAGTTTTGCCTCCAGGCGGAATTAAGATCCTGTTAAAATCAAAATGAAAAAAAAAAAAAAAAAAAACTGATCCCAGACCAGCAAGTTGGCCAGTTGAGCCTCCAGGACGTCTGCTTCGGCCGACCGTTTGTTACTAAATGGAGTGCTCCTGTCTTTGTTGCCTAGCAACAGCCAATGGGGGCGCTGACAAAAGGCACATGGACACTCAAACACACTCACTGTGTGTCTGTGTGTTGTGTGCCACACAGGGTTTGTGATGCCTCGTTATCGTTGTCGCTTTGTGTCCTCCGAGCAATGTTGACTCGTCAGTGTGTTTCGAAATATTTTGTCGTGTGTCAGTCAAAACACTGCAGTCAACATTGTCAGTGTGTCTCGAAATATTTTGTCGTGTGTCAGTCAAAACACTGCTTGGAAAATCAAGGGAACACATCATCAGTACATATTGCGCAATATCGTTGTCTTAAGGTCATCTTAGCTCTTCACAGAGGATCAAGAATACAGTGTATGTCAGTGACTAATGGTATGTTAAATGTCAAATGGTGTGACTGCACTGTTTGTGCTAAAATATCACGTCAAGGGTCATGTGTTAGCATTAGCGTTAAGCGGGACTGAACTTGAACAAAAGACTTTCTCTTGCTCCGCTTCACTTTCCGGGACGAGCCTTCAAAACGACATGAAAGAATTTGTCCCTCGCATGTGTTGGAAACCCTCAGTGGTTCATTTTGAACGGATTCCCTTGGGATGTGTCGTCGTGCGCAGTCATTTGCTTTTACTTCCTCTTCCTTATTTGAAATGGTTTTGATGTTCCTTCTAAATTGTTATTGAAATAAGGGACTCGACTATGCGTGGTTTAACCTAATGCGAGTGTGTAGAAATAGTCCAAAGTTTCAAACATTTCTACAGATGTAACCACTCTAATTAGCGCACGTCCTTTTTTTTTTAAATGTCTTCTCTTTGTTTATTTTTGGGCTAGCAGTGTGTGAATAAATTAGCCTTGGCTAACTAACAGCTGGTCTATCTCGTACCGACCGCTGCAGGTACTCCAAGATGTTCGACCCCGCCAACTGGCTGGAGATCGACCCGGTCAACGGGCGCATCTCCACCATCGCCGTCCTGGACCGCGAATCTCCGTACGTCAAGAACAACATGTACAACATCACCTTCATGGCCGCTGACAACGGTGAGACAACAGAAACGAGAACGAAAACAAGCACAACAGTTGGACAGAAGGCACAACTTTTGAGTCAAGCCAAGACCATTAACGTCGGTCACGCTAGTAATGCTATGTTAGCGTTTTGAGCAAACAACAACACCGCATTCTCCAGATAATACAAGCGATTACTGACCCTGGGGTAGACAAAGTAAAGGTGCCTCTGGTGATTGATTGATTGATTTTTGGACAGATTAAATGAACTACACAGACAGCCGCACGGTAACATAGCGATAGCGTTTTGAGCTAACAACCGCATAGCCTTAAGTAAGTTGGAAATACGACAATGGTTTGTTTATTTTCTTTTGATTCGGGTAACTCGGCCTAGCGTAAGTAGCATTGTGTTAGCCTTTTGAGCTAACAACAGCCACGCATTATTTTATGAATTCTGAATGCAAACAACCATACGCTAACTCGCCATTTTGTCAGCATTTTGAGTTCACTCCTGCGTACCATTATTTGAAGGAAAATGCTGAATTTACATGTCAATTTTTGCCGCTTTTCTTCGACTGTGCAGATGATCACGTAGCTTTATCTCATTCTGCTACGCCATGGTGTCATTTTCCCTATTCGTGACGCCTTGCCTGTCGTCTTGTTGGTCTCATCGTCCACCCTCCGGGGGACAACAGTTGTGTAGTGTTCACTGCCTACAATACTTGCATTTATTCCCCATGTTCCCAAATTCTTCCTCTGGTTCCGCCCATAATCGTTGGTTCTAGTCAGAGAAAAAAACTATTGTCTGTTGAAAATGGAAAATGGCCAGAGAGGAACGGAATGCCACAGCCGTGCTTCCGCTGTTTTGCACCTGGAAATGCCAAATCACCAGCTTCACTAAACACAGTGTGCGCGCGCGCGTGTGTGCGTGTGTGTGTGTGTGTGTGTGTGTGTGTGTGTGTGTGTGTGTGTGTGTGTGTGTCTTTTAAACGTGAATTCGTTTTGTGTACGTGTATGATTGTGTGTGTTTGTCTTGAATCTGGAATGTGTGTGTGTGTGTGTGTGTGTGTGTGTGTGTGTGTGTGTGTTTCATGTGCGTGTTTGATGCGATGGGTGCATCTTGTCTGTATCTGCGCATGTGTTTGATGTTGTGTGTTTTGTGCATGCGCGTCTGCGCAGGTGTGCCCCCCGCCAGTGGTACGGGCACCCTTCAGTTGTACCTGGTGGACATCAACGACAACGCGCCGCACGTCTTCCCTCCGGAGGTGGAGATGTGCGAGAGGCCCGAGGCTGGCGGCGGCATCATCAACATCACCGCTGTCGACCCGGATCTCGGTTCCAATGCCGGGCCCTTCGCCTTCGAGCTGCCCACCCGCCCGCCCGACATTCGACGCAACTGGACGCTCGGCCGACTCAGCGGTAAGCGGGCACGCTCGCTCATCTGACCGCGTTTTATTCAGTATGTCTTTCCTTCAACTAGTCTTTTTAGCAACAAAAAGTGACATCTCCAGAATTTTAAAATATCCCGTTTACATGATGACCTTGTCAATCAAAGTTGCTCTTCGAGCCAAAAGCGAACTAGCGAGCGCGATGCTCTTGCTCCGGCAGGTGAACACGCTCAGCTGCGTCTGCGCGCCGGCCCGCTGGCGCACGGCGTCTACGCCGTGTCCGTCGTCATCACCGACTCGGGCAACCCGCCCATGTCCAAGACGTCGTACCTGCGCGTCAAGGTGTGCCGCTGCGACCGCCACGGAGACTGCGTGGACGTGCAGCGCGTCATGGCCGCCGGCTTGGGCATGGGCGCCGTCATCGGCATCCTCATCTGCATCATCGTGCTGCTCGGTAAAACTCAGCAAAGTCAAGCAAAGTATTCACAACCCAAATAGGGTTTGGGTTTCAAATCAGCGGTGAAACAAGGGGTGGGGTTTCAAACTAGTGTTTAAAACTGGGGTGAAGATTTCAAAGTAGGGTTTAAAACCAGGGTTAGGGTTTCAGAGTAGGGTTAGGGTTTCAAACTAGGTTTTCAAACTAGGGTTCATGTTTCAAAGTAGGGTTAGGGTTTCATATTAGGGTTAGGGTTTCATGGTAGGAATTAAAATTTGGGTTAGGGCTTCAAAGTGGGTTCATACTTCAAAGTGGGGTTAGGGTTTCCAAGTAGGGTTTCAAAGTTGCCTTCGAGTTTCAAAGAGTTTTAAAAACAGGGTTAGGGTTTCAAATCAGGATTTCATATTAGGGTTAGGGTTTCATAGTAGGGTTTCAAAAACAGTTGGGGTTTCAGAGAATGTTTTCAATCTCGGGTTTTAGATTTCATATTTGTTTTTAAAACAAAGGTTAAGGTATCAAAGTAGGGTGGGGTTTAAAACCAGGGTTCGGATTTCAAAATTTCAATCTCGGGTTAGGTTCTAAATGTGGTTTTAAAACTAGGGTGAGGGTTTCTAAGTAGGGTTGGGATTTCTTATTAGGGTTACAGTTTCAAAGTAGGGTTTCAAACGAGGGTTAGGGTTTCAAATGTGGTTTCAAATTGGGGCCATTCCCAACCTTGCCAATCTGGAACAAAAGCTAATGTTGAAAAAAAAAATTGTTGCTTCGACATCTCGCGACTTGAACACGTTTGAGCGGAACTGGCGCCGCTCCAACCGGATTTGTGGCGGTGTGCGCTCAGTGTTGGTGCTGCTGTTGGGCGTGTGGATGAAAAGGCGCGACAAAGAGCGGCAGGCCAAGCAGCTCCTCATCGATCCCGAGGACGACGTGCGTGACAACATCCTCAAATACGACGAGGAGGGCGGCGGCGAGGAGGACCAGGTACGCGCCCGTCGGCGTCGCTTCAATTGCGAGTGACTCCACAGCGCCGCCGCTGGTCGCGGAGGCAAACTTTCACTTGATGGTGTCTGAGACGTGCGGCTTTGCGCTTGCACGCGTTCAGGACTACGACCTGAGCCAGCTGCAGCAGCCCGACTCGGCGGCGGAGGGCGAGTGCGGCGCCAAGGTCGGCGTCAGACGTCTGGACGAGAGGCCGCTTCATCACGACCACCGCTACCCGCTCAGGTCTGCCGCGCCGCACCCGGGAGACATCGGCGACTTCATCCACGAGGTATGCGGGTGTGCGCCAAACACCCTCCGCGACTTTTCATGGCCAGAGCGCGCGCACGCTCACAATGGGGTTGGCTCTGCAAACAAGAGTCAGGTTTCAAATGAGGTCTTCAAGATGGGGTTCTGGACTCTCGCTGGAGTTTGGGGTTAAAGTGTGTGTGTGTTTCTTGGTGCAGGGTGAGATCATTTCAAAATTTAAAGACGAATAAAAGAATCTTAGAATGGACGGGAAGGCCAGACGCTGTGTGGCTTGCATGTGCGTGTTGATTTGTTTGCGCACGTGTGTGTGTGTGTGTGTGTGTGTGTGTGTGTGTGTGTGTGTGTGTGTGTGTGTGTGTGTGTGTGTGTGTGTGTGTGCGTGTTCCAAATGGACGTGACTTGTCTTAATCTGTGGAATCTCCTCTACGAGAAGCGGGCGCCCCGTCTGTCCGGCCTGACCCAAATCCTCCCCACTGCGTCATCTGGCTTTTTTTTTTGTTGTTGTTGTCTTGCACAGCGCCCCCTGTTGTCCGTCTTCTGCACCACACACACATGCTCAAAACAAGCACTTAAGAGTTATTGGGCCCATCCTAAATATTGCAGCGATTGCACTGTGGCGAGCAAATATTTGTGGCAAAAATCAATTAATTTATTAAATCAGTCGCATTATTGGACGACTTTTGAATTCACGCATGCGTGAGTGTATTTGTGTGAGGACATGTGTGTGTCCTATGTTTGTGGCTTTGTGTGTATCTGGTGTTCGTGTCTTGATGAGTGTTTTTTGTGCGAGGACATGTGTGTCCTATGTTTGTGGCTTTGTGTGTATCTGGTGTTCGTGTCTTGTGTTTGTGTGCCTCGCCTGTCAATGTTTGTGTGTCTCGTATGCACTCGGCTGTGTTCGAGTGCCGTATTTTGCACCTTTCGCCGCCGTTCTTCGGTGTGTCTTGTCTTTGTGTGTCTCGCATGCACTCGACTGTGTTCGTGTGCCGTATTTTGCACCTTTCGCCGCCGTTCTTCGGCAGCCAGACCGGAGTCACGTTCCGTCTCGGGTGTTCGAAACAAAGTACTCAGAAATTGTGCGAAAAGAAGACTTCTCCGCCGGTTTTCCCTTTCCTCCGATTTTGCTCATGTGTGACGGGTCTCCTCCAGCGTTACGTCCCGTCTCGGGTGTTCGAAACAAAGCAATTATTTTAACGTACTCAGAAATTGTGCGAAAAGAAGTCTTCTCTGCCAGTTTTCCATTTCGCCGATTTTGCTCATGTGTGACGGGTCTCCTCCAGCGGGGAGTTAACAAGAAAGTCGGCCGGTTTGACCCCGGGGCGCCGCTCACCTGTCAGACTGCATGAAAGGGTCCGCACGGGTCAGGAGAAGCTTGAAGTGGGCTCCGACGGTCCGGACGGAGAAGTAATCCCGTAGCGAGGGCACTTTGGGGCAGGAGGGGAATCGCTTTCCTGACAGCGTTAACAGCCGATGACGCTCCGGGAATCGGAGAGGGACTCTTTTCGTGCAATTTTCACGTAGCGGGCGACTTTGTCGACGCTTGGGCCGAAACGATGAATCGCATACTTTGACGGTTGAAATTTCAGGGGCTGAAGGCGGCGGACAACGACCCGACGGCGCCGCCGTACGACTCGCTGCTGGTGTTCGACTACGAGGGCGGCGGCTCGACGGCCGGCTCGCTCAGCAGCCTGCACTCGGCCTCCAGCTGCGCCGACCAGGACTACGACTACCTCGGCGACTGGGGTCCCAGGTTCCGGAAGCTGGCCGACCTCTACGGCGGCGACGACTGAGGGCGGTACCGACCGCGCCCGACCCGTGAATCCGCCCCCGGCCCCTCGGGGCGCTTTTGATTCGGGACGCGTGGTGGAGACGCGGACTTCCACTTGAATCTCACACGAACACTGAGGTCAAACGTGCCTTTCTGTACATTCTCCTTGACTTGCGCTGGCTCGGACTGGTCGATTTGGAGCACCGGTAGGCAAAGTGTGGCCCGCGGGTCACAGGCGGTCCGCCGACTTTTTACGTTATCGAGACTCTTGTGATGAATTCAGCCCGGTTTTCCTTCAATTGATTATTTTTATTTTATTTGGTAAATGGATTTATTGTAAATAACTCAATAAGCACTGACGAAACATCGCAAAATATTCAATTGAATAATTGGTCAATGAATCATATTTGTTGGTCACAGGATGACAAGGTAACAAATGAGAATTACGCCCCCGACCCCCCATTTTTAATTTGTACTTTTTGATTTCGAATGGATTTTTACTCATTCCCAACACTTGACATGGACACTGGAATAAATTATAGTCATATTCTTATTTATTTTATTAAATGTTGTTAGTTATATTCATAACAAAAAAATACAATTTTACGTTTCACGTTACCAATCAAAAAATTAGCGTCCAATTGGAAAATTGATTCTAAAGTTCTAAAATATTAAATGTATGAAACAAGTACAATTAAAGAATGATCAAAAGTAGAAAGAATGTATTCATTCTGAAAATTATTTTACATATTTGACATCCACATTTCAGCATTTTTATTCATTAAATAATGGTTCGTGAATTATCAAAAGTTCTTCAACATTCTTTTGTCAACACTTTGAAGAAACGCAAGGAATTTATTTTTTTTTACTGATTCACTTAATTTAAAAAAATTAACTGATGGATTATTTAAAACAATCTCCAATCAAAGCCCTACAATAAACAATTGTAAAAATTTAAAACATCAAATCCAAACAACAAACGTGAAATAAATAACGTTTGACGTTTTTATTTATTCTAGTGTATATTATGAAATGAACAATTTTAAGTCTTTTTTTTTTCTTTTTTACATTCCCTTGGCGTATATGTCCATTTAAAAAAATTGCCCAATGCGTCCACAGTTTGAGCTGTGCACAAAAGTTGACATGATAAGAACAATAATTATTTTTGGCGAAAAGACATAGAACAATAATTATTTTGCGAGAAGACATGTACAGTAAACGCCAACCTCTTCGTTTTGGCGGTTCACCAAGTAAAAAATATGCCACCAAGGGCCACCAGAGGGAGCCGTCGTCACGGTAGCGCACAAGTTGGCCAAGCAACTGACGCCGAAGCGAAGCTTTGCTGTTTTTTGGCCTTGTTGTTTTTCTCGGGAGGGGACATTCCAGCTGGTTTCTCACTGTAAACTGTACAGATTTGACTCTTTGCTTTTTTTTTTTTTTTTTGGTTGGTTGGTTCTTTTTTCTTCTCTCTCTGGTTTTTTTAAAACGGTCGCAACCCTTGTACATGTTCTTTGGATTACACATTAAAATGTTTTTGCATGTTTCCAGCTTTTTCTCGTGACCAAACTGCAATTTTTCACCAGCGCCAATGCAAAATTTTTAAATATAAAATCAGGTCAACTGGAATAATGTGAGGTTTTTTTAAAAAATTTAAAACGGGTCTTCATTTGCAATGTTTTCATTTTTATTTCGTTGTATTTTGTATCAAAGGTTTTATATTACTGTAGGTGAAGTCCAAGTGTCTTGAAATGTTATTTAAATTGAATGGATTTTCAATTTAAAATAAAAACTTAAAATTAACATTCAATTTCAAAGTAAACAAAATATATATTGAAAAATATTTTTTTTACTTTAGTTTTTTTTAAATACATTATGAAAAATGTTTTTAAAAAATTTTGTCCCATGGAAAAATCAATCTTTTCTATCATCATGCGTGTTCAAAAAAGTTTCACTTTTAATCTTAAAATGTGTAACATTAATTTCAGTCAATTCATGAAAACCTTTCACCACAAAATTGTTCCACTTGTTTGTGATGCAGGTGGTGTCCCTAAAAAAAAAAGTATCGTGAGAGGTGAAGTCACGGCAGAGTCACAGAAAGGAAAGAAGTAAAAAAGCGCTTAAAAAAAAAATCAAAGTATCATCAAAGGAGTAGAGCGGCCGCCTGAAGGTTTTTGACGTCAAAGAAACTCTCGCTCAAACGCTCGTCACCACTTATCCTTCCAGAACATAGACTGCCGCCGGACCCACGCAGAAGAACGCTCTCAATTCTTAGCTTTTTTTTTTTCTCTCTCTCTCCATTTACATTTTTAAATTTACACAAAATTCCAAGCGTGAAGCACTGTGTAAACTTTCAGTCTTTATTGTAATGTTGCAGTCTGATTGTATTGACCATGGGGTCAAAGTTCAAGCTAGCGCAATTAGCAAAGTGACAGAGAATTTTGTTGAGATTGTTTCCAAATATACATGGATTTTAGCTATTTTAAAAATGTAGCAAAATGTTAACATTTACAGGGGAAAGGGACCAAGCATAACTGCGGATCGCGAGAATCTGCGACGAATAAGTCGCTCCCTTAAAATTGCCGTGACAAACTGAAAAAAAAAAATAGAATAAGTGGCGGATTGGCTCAAACGAAAAATGTGAACTCACGAGGGATCAAACAAAAAAATTATGTATATAAAACCGGGGCAAGATTACAGAAAAAAAGGCATGAACATTTGGTTATAATTGCCATGAATAAAAAAGGGGGAAAAAGACTAATCTGTGCATCAGGTAAAAAGTTAAAAAATAAAAAAATTAAGCGAACAGGCTGAGTCCATAAATGCACGCGCACACACATTCTCTCCCTCTCTCTCTCTCTCACACACACACACACACTGGAAGTTGAGTAGAAGATAATGAGCTGTGATTGGGCCGCTCAGTGTCTGCATACCTGCAATTAGTGTCAAAGAAGTTCAGCCTTTTGCTTCTGATAAAGAGCCGTCAAGATCCTGCTCCATTACATTCTCTCTCTCTCTTTCTCTCTCCTACACACACACACACACACACACACACACACACACACACACTCGTACGCACACAGAGGTAAATGTCAGGGTGTTGGCAGCGGGAGGTTCTTGAAGCAGCCATCCATTGTGACGTACACTAGGTGTGATAAAAAATTTCTTAGCAAGAGTGAACCAGGGTTCAGACTCATCCCTGGGCCAGTAATTAGTCACGTTCTTGTGATGCAGTTACATCGACACATACCTGGCCAGTAAATAGACTCATCCTTGTGCCAGTAAAATAGTGGACCTGAACTTGCCCGTTCAGGTCAACAGACATTGAAACTTCCTCATTCCGCAAAGGATCCCCGTTAGCACTGCGGTGTAACATTTTGAGAGCGCCTGCATTTTGCACGCCACCCGGGGCGGGCATGTTGTCGCCGACGAGGACGACTGAGACAGATGACAGCAGATGGAAGCGTCAACACGAAGAAAGAAATAATCCACAGGCTTCCTTTCCCTGCGGGACGGCAGCTAGCTTTTAGCATTTAGCGTGACAGGAGGAGGACACGCGGTCGTTGAGTATGACTGACGGCAAAGCGTTGCAACAAAATTGTCCCACTCAAGGACGGATGAAGATTACGGTATCACGCGGCGAAGGGATGGTGTCGGCTCTTTGGAAATATAAGCGTCCGTTAGCATATTAGCATCAGATGCATAATGAGGATTAAGATTGGAGTTTGACGATTGTTGTGTCGTTTTCCCGCCCATCCGAGCAGCACTTGATTTGCCGCTACATCAATACTAGCGGTGCTTCACTTCAAACATGGAAGCAGAACATTTCCGAGAAGTTTCTCTCAGTTTTTTTGTGTGTCTGCAGCTCGTCACCATCTGTTTCTTGCTGCTCACACATGGGCGAGGAAGGTGTTGGCAACCAATCACGTCACTGGCACATTTATTTTAATCGTGACAACTTGGCAACACTGCGCTAATGCTGGCAAACGTCAAGTTTTTTTTTTTTTTTTCCTGTGAACTTCCCGCTGCTGTGCTTTGTCAATTTACAAGATCACGGGAATATGTCTATTTACCGAATCACAGAAGTGTGGCTATTCACTTACTGGTCCGTATGTGTAGCTATTCACGGGCCCGGGGACTCGGTTTATGGGTGTGTTCGTTCACGAGAAGACTATTTATTTAGTGACCCAGTGTTGTGTCAATTGACCAGCCCAGGCCCTGTCTAAATACTGAATCACAGCGATATGCTTCTTCTTCTTCCTGCTGTTGGACTGTGCTGTCATTGGTTGACGTTTTCGCGACACTTGGCTGTACTATTGCCCAAAATGGAACTTTCAATCCATCATTCAGTTAAATATTACAGCAGCACCAGTGACGAAAAAGAGACACATCCCTACTCCTAGTAAATAGACTAGTTCCTGGGCTTTAGATGGACAAGAAACCATACCAGTAAATAGACACATCCCTGGATATTTTCGTACAAACATGAACTTTTTTATGGCACTTCCCGTCAAGTCACCTCAACCTGTCACCATGACAACCACCACCCAGCAGCCTCACTCAGCATGAACGTGCACGCGCACACACTTGCTCAAGGGTAATGTTGGAAGAGGGGTTCCAAATGATATTAAAGTTCTGTCATAGACATACTTTGGCTTATATTTGGGGTTTAAACCATCATTAAACTGTAAGACTCTTTGGAAATCTCTGATCTCGGTTATCAGGTTTTGGTCCCAAGCACACTCGGTTTGACAGTTCGTCGCACAAAATAACGCCCGTGTTTTTGGTTTTCCCATCTGAGCGCCTCGGTCCATCCTGCTCGTCGTTTGCATTTGGGCGCCTGCGCTGCAAGGCGCAAATCTGCTGCTCCACTTTCACTTTTCCAAGTGCTCGCAAAAGCCGTATTTTTTGGCACTGAAAGATGAAAAAGAACAACAAAGATGGAGGAGAAGCCGACTTCTTGTTCTTTCCTGACAGATTGAGGACTGGATGGCAGTCAGTCTTGGCAGCTCTGTGAAGTCCAAACTTTCCAGTAGCTTTTTTTTTTTTTTATCCCTTCTTTCTTTCCATAACATCAATCATTCATGTTCCTGCCTCTACCCGCCACAATAAAGGCACATCTAATTTTTGTCACTCACATTTCAAATGAAAAGACTTCCCATCTTCAAACTTTTGCCAAGCTGCGATGACATTGGCATCCATACTACAACTTATTACGGTAAATTACTTGGAATTCATAAAATGTCACACTTATTGCTACGTGGATGTACATAGACAGGCCTAGAGATGGCGCTATTTACAGTGCCCAGGGCATGTCTATTTGCTGGAGCACAAGCAGGTAGGTGTCTACTTACTGGATTGCAGAGATATGTCCGTGAACGGGCCCACAGACTGTTTTATTACCACGTGGATGCATCTACTTACTGGGACATGGATGTACATATACATGCCCAAGGATGTGTCTATTTGCTGGCCAAAGGATGTAGGATTTAATAGCCCATAGATGTGCTCATTTGCGAACCCATCGCTGTGTATTTATTCACTGACCAGGGATGAGGCTAGTTACTGGGGCATGGGTGTGCTTATTTATTGGAGCACAGGCGGGGATGTGACTATTTACTGGTCCGAGTGGAGTTGTATTTTTTTTGTACGCCTTTGGGCTCTATGCTGAGATGCTGGTTGCCGTGGCAACTCCCACAGGAAGCAGGCCTTGTGACTCTTATCAGCTTGAACACTGAGCGTGCCCAGACTTGAATCCTTAGGAAGAAAGACTCCATGACAAGTCATCATTGTAAATCAGACGGAGTGCTTCCATCGTTGTCACGAACTTGTCGCCCTCGTGTTGACATACTACAAGGGAAGTAGAGTTGCTCAGCCTTTTGATTTATTTCAGATTTCTATTTCACGAATTGGTGTCCTTTAAAAATAACATTTATGACCTTTATCTACCTTTTATTCAACCTCGCTGTCAAAACAAATCCTCTGGCCTGGTCCTTTTGGAGCATGTTGTTTTAAACGCCATCCTATGGCGTGACAGAACAAACACAAAGACCTGCACATGGGTGCGAATAGGTAAATTTCCTCAGCCTCTTGGTTACACACTGCGAAAAAAAGGTTTTTTGACTGCAAGTAGGCAAGATAAGGGTGCCAGGACTGGAAAGGAAAAAAAAAACTAGTCTTGAAATGAAAGCGTCCTGCAGAATAAAGAGGTTATTTCAAGAGCAACGACAAACATGAGCGCCTCCCTCGAGATGGTGACAGATTGCGGGAGGCAGCAGAGGCCGGCAAGCGAGAAAGATGAGAGAGCAACATTTTCGTTGCGGTGTTCCCTTTGCAGGCAGCCAAAAGGCTGGCCGCCCAATAAATGCTGCCCTCTAGAGGACCGACAAGTCCTAACACCCACAGTTGAGGCCAACACGTGGAAAAAGGTTGTCCATTTGCCTGCCCACGGGCGTGTCTATTTACTGGATCATATGGTGCTTTCTATATAAAGGTCCATTTATAGGGTATGTCTATTTACCGGTACATGGATATATTATCGCTACAGCTGAAATGAGAAGTTTCATTATTCTGTTTTATTAACTAGGATTAATGTGGGTAATCCTAGTCACCTAGAACAGGGGAAAGTTTCGTCTGATTTCATGTCAGGCAAGCGAGAAAACAAAAGTGCACAAGAACTACAAAAATAGTGTCAAGTGAAATAAAAGATTTAATTCGCTAAGAGGCAAGACAGCAAAGTGGAAAAGAAGTAAAATTAGAACATAACCGTAAAATCGTCAAAATTGGAATCAATGGCAACAAAGGAATTAGACAATTGGACAAAATGAATTCGACCAACATGCAGCCTGAGCAGAAATCCTTCAAAACAATCCATCCAGGTAAAACCCGAATGAAAAGGGTTACAATCCTCAAATTGTCAAAAAAGGAATATAAAAAGGGGGAACGCTCTCAAAAGCAAAGAGCCTCCAATTTCGGAGGCACTTTCTTTTCTAACTCTGCTATTGGGGAGTTCAAGGAGGTGTTTTCTTCCCATTCAAACTAGTTCCAGCTGGTTTCTGTTTTCCCGTTTGCACGCTTCGATTTCCGCTCGCTACCACCACCCATTGGGACGGACATTCTGCTTTACTCGACTTCCCCATTTCTGCCCTTTGGTCTTTATCACTAAAATGTCACGTTCAACACTGAACACATGATATATATGTCTTGATTTGAATCCCAACTTATTTATGTCCCGGTTAATGTCAAACATTTTGGCAGCCTAACAAGTTGATTCGAGGACTGGACGACGACGACGACAGCGAAAAATGCTACAAACCAGCACGACGGCGATCATGCCGGTGTCACTTCTGCAAAGGCTGATCAGGTTGCAGACGTTCTGCTTCAATCAAAGACTTTCTCCGCTTGGTACGTACGCGTCCTCGGGCCGCCTCTCATGTCGCGGATGTAGTCGCTCGGCCATGGCGTTTCACCTACGCCAATTGTCGGTCAGGACATGACAGAAGGAGCGGAGCTTGTCGAGCCCCTCCCCCCACTTCGTGAAGTTGCAATCTCTCGGGTGGGTCGAGATGTCCAGGTTGAGATGGCGCGGCGGAGGATGCGAGCTCAAAGCTTGAGCAAAGCGCAGCAAGTCTGCTGGCTGAATGAAGTTGGTTCTGAGGGGAAAAAAAAGAAAATCTGAAGTTATTTTGTATGTTTGGAGGAAAGAGATGTACGAGGTACTGTCCATCTGTGCAACTAAGTGCAAGGCTTGCCACCGTTTTCACACCACATTTCCCCATTCAAATAAATGGAATTGCCATTCATCTGTTCCAGCTCCCCCCCCCCAAAAATAAAAAAAGATCAAACTTCAGATTAAACTTTATTTTTTTTAAATGACAAGAATAATTGAGAATTAAATTGTTTGAAGTGTACTAAAGACTCAGTTCTGCTTTGGGCTTATCAGCACGGCATTCATAAAAGTCTTTCTTCGCAGAGGATAAATTTAAAAAAAAAAAAAACGCCGGTGAGTATTGTTAACTCATTCACTCCCAAAGACGTTTTTAAACGTCTTTTCAGACTTGGTCCAGAATTGGCTGGTACTGAATGAGTTAATTTATGTCGATATGCGTTATTGCTTCACTTTTTGTCATCCAATATCCTTTGCATTGAGTGGAACAAAATCTCCGCACTGATGCTAATTGTTAGCCCGTACGGCGATGTTTCCCATTGTGCAGTCTGTTAGCATTCAGTTAGCAAAGAGTATGTAGCGGTTTTAAGAACACAATATTCCCACACGATTTGTTTGTTTCCCGTTTAATTTGACAGCAACAACGAGTTGAGTGGAGCAACAAAGAGCTTGAAGTCTCTCTTTTTTTGGGGGGGTGGGGGGTGGGGGCTTGGAACTAACCACTCTTGGTGCTATGGATGCTTAGTACTCACCCAAGATGGAGGTACTCCAGTAAGCTGGGCGTGGGTCCGGAGAAGAGCTGAGCCAACACGTGAACACCTTCGGCTGCAGGCAGGCAGGCAAAAAGACACAAAGACACAAAGACACAAAGACACACACACACACACACACACACACACACACACACACACACACACACACACACGGCGATCACTGAGAAAGCGGCGACACAGCAAGGTGAGGTGAGGCGACAGCGAGGCTCACCGAGGCCATTGTTAGACAAGGTGAGCTTGCGCAGGGACGGCACAGTCTTGACGGCGTCCACCAGCTGGCGCAGACTTTCAGCCTTGTCCGCAGCGCCCTCCAGAAGGCGGCAGTCTGCAAGGTGGAGCTCTGAAATAGCACAACAGGGAGGGGGGGGGGGGTCGACAAGGTGGACAAGAAGGAAGAGGAGTGCGAGTAGAAGGATAATGGAGCAAGGTGAGAATATCAAGAAGCGGAGGCGGCGGATGAAAAGGAGAAGGAACAGGGTGGGTTCGGATAAATCGGCAAAAGTTCAGGATAAGTAGAAGGAAGAGTGAAAGGTGAGGAGACGGAGGAGCCGATTGAGGTGGATGACCGAGTCAAGTGGAAGAGACGCACGTTACCTTCCAGCTTGCAAACCCTCAGCATCTCGACGATCTCCTCCAAACAATCGGACAAGTTGAGGTCCCACAAGCAGAGACTCGTCAGGCCAACGTTTGACTCTAAACATCATCACACACATCCACGTATGACTGGGAGTTGTGCAGTCCAAACCGCATCTTCAATAGAAGGTCTACATTTGCCAAAAAAAGGTGAACATTTGCAGACTACAGCATGCTGATTACGTCTTTGCGCCCTCATCTGTGCTCACTGCCCGGATGTGACAATCAATTATCCTCAGTCATTTCTTTATTTTTCTTATTTATTTGATCAATTCAGCTATCAAATAGACTTTTTTTTTAATCCTTAATTTAATAGGATGTATCTGAATACCGCGAAGGGACGCAATTTAAACCATGATATGATTTTTGGGCCATTCCTCTTTTTCCCTTTGTGGACTATTTCTAGTCTGGTCTGAGAATTTTTTTTTATTCCCCACCGTGGCTGTTATGATCACAACTAACGGTGAGAGAATCACCTTTGCGTCGTTGATGTAACATGAAGTCTTACATCATGATGTCGGAGCGCTTACCTGCGATTGTGTTGATGAGAACCTTCTGAGAGTGGCCTCTGGGCAAGGGCATAACCGAGACCTCCAGCGAGAGCAGGTGCGGGCACGCCCTCAACACCTTCACGAGGAAGTCAGCGTCGTGCCGTTTCCTGCCCATGTTGACCGACAGGCGCTCCAGGAGAACTTCACCTGCGGGACCATCGGCATGGCTGTACTCTCCTGCTTCCGGGTGGCCGAGCCACATACCGCAGAAGTAGCAGAATGTCCGGTTGAATTAAACAGTCCGAAGAAGACTCGATGTCAAGGCACCGCTGTAATCCCCAACACGATTGACAAAATGCCAGAGTGTCGAGAAGTTGAACGTGGTTTAAGGGCGCTCTCGACCACCGGTGCATTCCCCCCGCACCCGCTCTCCGCTTACCTTCCAGCTCCATTTTGCCTTGGTCATTCCTCTTGCCTTCCATGAAGATCTCCACATCCAGCTCCTTCAGCTCCCGATACGCTTGCAGCAGGGCGCACAGCGGTTCCCCCCGCTGCAGTAAGGAAAGGGCCAAGTGGCGGAGGGAGCGGTGGGGACGTGAGGACAGAGACACCAGCGCACTTGCCAGGCCTTCCTCGATCATCCGGATGGGAAAGAAATATCTGTCTAAACAAACACAAGTTGAGGGAAAAAAAACTAACTACATCGGAAGCCAGCACGTCAAAATCACCAAATCCAGGAAAAACACCACCCAACTTTCTCTTTCGACAAAATCATAACACATTCAAAATGATTCTCTCACTCTCATTCACATGGAATAATCGTCACGGCAGGTTCCAGTGATACCGAAAATATAAACCACAATAAGTACACTTGGGATACAAGATAACTGTTGTTGGGTTTTTTTTTTTTACCCTACCAATACTGATAACCAGAGATGGGCAATGCGTCAGTATGGATGGAAGGTCCGTTTGATGACGAGGGACAAATGAGAGGAAACGTAAAAAAACAAAGACATTTTAAAAAATAAAATTAAAAAAAAACCAGACTAAGCACTCTCGGAGGAGGTCCTGAAAAGGTCAAACAATTTGGAGGCGCAAGGACTTGGCCGACCGCAACCAAGGATGCTCCACTCACATGGCGTTTTCAGCGTCAGAGTGGTCAGGCTGTCAAACGTGGGCAGGAGATCAAAGATGTCCAAAAAGTGCTCCGTGTTATCAACAGCTACTTCGAGACTTTGGATCTTTAAATCTTGACAGGGCGTCCTGCAGCCGGGAGAAAAGTCTATGCAACGATGCAAGACCGAGCACGCCGTCTTATCCCACCTCAATTTTTTGTTGCAGGGACCATCTTCATCAGACATTAAGTTCATCAAACTTTCACGGGGTTGCGACGGTATGACAGGTTTATACCGATGGCAGCGTTCTTTGAACAGCGAGGTCAAGAAGTTGGGGGAGGGACAGTTCAGGATGAGGTGTTTAACCACGCCGTGGTCCACAAAGCGATGTACCAAGAAGTTCAGTACTTCAGCCAAATCCTGAGACACGTGAGGGCCTACCCACTCAAACTGCAGCAACTCCACCGTCTTCTCCAAACTGGAGAGAAGGGGCTCCTCCACGAGCAAGCTCACGAGGGGGTCGATGTAACGACTCAGCCTCACGTGGCTGACGTACTTGACCGCCGTCGACAGGAATGTGGGCAAGCGGATGGAACTCCGGAGGCCCGACTCGTTGGACGGATGATGGAGAAACTGGGCAAACATCTGTCGCATCACTTCCTCTTGGACGTCTTGCGAAGTGGCAAAGGTCCTTTGCTGGAACCAGACACACCACAAGCGGTTAAAACTGCAAATTAACCGAAGGAATAAATGCCAGATTGATTGACTATTAAAATAAATGCGAGTGGCAGGCCCGTCATTCTATATTCAATTAAATGATTTTTTTTTTTTTTTTTTTT